GGTGTCACACTCGATGGCACCAATTCAGACGAAGTGCTGGGTCCGACGATATCAGAAGCACTCGGTGTCACACTGGATGGCATCGATTCGGAGCACGTGTCGAGCCCGGCGATCTCGGAAACACTCGGTGCATTTGCGGCTCCAGCCACACTCGATGTGTCGGATTCTCGACTGGCGACAGCCGACAACACAGTTCCGTCGCTGCAAGCGTCTACGCAGTCGGCACCCGCAGCAGAATAGCGGAATTTCGATGATCATACAAGCCGCATAGCGCGCCTCCGCGCACCGGACTTCCGCACTGACTTCGGCTTCGATGCCGGCATCGCCCGCAACAACAAAGACGAAAGGCACAGAACTAGTGCGAAAAGAAAAAAAAAACGAGAGAAAATGATCGAAAAGATAGCACAAGGTGAAGAGCGGCTCGTAAGCAGACGTCTGTCGAGGCGGACGGAGCAGAGAGCAACAACGAAGCGAGCGCGCTGGACGCGCCATCGAGAGGAGCGACCGCCCCCGCTGCTGCACAGCAGCCAATGGCGGGCACGCTTTCTCCCGCGAGATATGAATGCGCTGCTCTAGCCAATCAGCGCTCCGCATCGCATTGCGGGAAAACGTCAATAGCGTCTCAACTGTGCTGCCGACGCCATTTTGCAAGACGGCGAACGAGAGAGAAAGAATTCACGGTCAAAACAACACCAAGATGGCGCGGGACGACCGCATGGTCCGGGAATGGCGCGCGGGCGAAGTTTGGTTTGATTTCGGGATTTGCGCCTGTTTTGGACGCCGCGGCGGCCTCGAAAATAGTATTTTTTTTGCACTTTGCGGTTGAATTAGGTGCTGATAATTACAGAATAGGTAGTTTATGAGACATACAACCCAAAAATGTGGTTTTTCAAAAACCGACTTTTTCGCGATTTTTCGGTTTTCAAGGGCCGCGTCCCCCCTTAAGTAGAAATATTGCTTATCTCGAAATTTTCCCTGGATTTCACGGCTTCGAGTTAAGGGATTACTGTAGTAACCTCACTGGAGTGTCATGCACATACATTTCACTGTACATACATTTAACTGCCCTTAACTGTATGTACATTTAACTGCATTTTTGACTAATGTACAGTTCCTAATATTGTCACAGGTGCATCTGTATTTTCCTGCTCTAGTCAAATTCCTTCACAAAATCAACACATGCACACTATGGTGGTGTAGTGACGATTACGCTCGAATGTTAACTCTGAGGTCGCGGGACCGAATACCAGCGGTATTGGCCACACTTTCAATTAATGCAAACATGTGCGAGGCTCATGTATTTGGCTTTAGGAGCACATCAAAGAACCTGGTCAAAATTTTCAAAGCCCCCACTGCGTTGATATTTGAAAATTTTGTTGAAGCGCAATAAAAACGGACGGACAGAAGAGGCTGACAAGTACAGCGTTCTGTGCGTCCGTACTTTAGTGCACTTCAACAAAATTTTCAATTATGAACGTAATCCAACTGGCCCAACTTGCCCCCACTACACTGTTCTTCATAATCATAACGTCGTTTTGGGACGTTAGAGTGCAGCTATTCTTATATTATTAAAGCATACATTTCTAACCGCTTATGGCGACAGGTCACACCAAAATATTCTGGAACCTTTCATTGCTTATACTGTTCCAATGTATGCAAGCAACAAGAGTTCAGCAATTATATATACATTATCGAACATTCCAGCGATAACACTGCAAATAGTTGACCATGCATGCATAGAAGAAATGTTTCATCGATAATAAGATAACGGACAAAAACTGACAACTATGCTTAACTATCGTTTCATTGCACAGGTTGCCTCATTTTCTGGACACAGGTTTTAAAATATGCAGTTCCATCTGCACCAGTTTGAGTATTTCCTTCATCACCGACGCAAGCACGTGACAACCTCAATTTTAAATTCAGAAACTGCCAATTTGGACCAACAATTCTTGCGAACGTGCAAATTTTAAACTGGGTTTAGCTCAGCTACGCAGTTACGGTAAGCCCTCGTTATTGGCCAGGTCATCGGGGCAGGTGGTGAATTCCATTAAGCGGCTAAAAGCACTAAAGAAATCAGTCTCGACATGCACTCAGACAATCTGGTTGTTCCATTGTGCAAGCTGTAAGCCACCATGCTTAACAGTGGCAGCAAAAAAATGCCAATATTCCGATGGCCACACGCATCTGACTCAACAGGCCAGGTCTGACTGCATGACGGTCCCCAGAAACTGTTACAATAATGGAATGCAGTTTTTTTTCTCTAATATCACGACACAAATCGGTACACTCAATTATCACAAGTAAACGAGAGTTCACAGTTGGAACGCACCAGTTCATTCGGAGAAATAAGGTTTAATCCGAACAACATGCACAACTTCTGGAGCACACCTTCGACACCTTAAGGAGTGCGCAGTATCAGAAACAACCTCATAATTAATGTCACTTAGACGCCGTAGAACTTTATAGGGCCCGAAGTACCGTCTTAACAGTTTCTTCTGAGAGGCCACGGTGCCGAATAGGAGTCCATATCCAAACTTTCTCTACTGGCTTGTATGAGACGAGACGGTGACGAAGGTTGTACCATGTTGAATCGTAGTCCTGCTGGCGACTAATACGTAGGGGTGCAAGTTGTCGGGCCTCTTCGGCAAGCTGGGTGACGTAATCGGCATCCGTCTGAACGTTTTTGCCCTCTTGCGGCAGCATAGCATCCAGCATAGTGGTGACTTCACGACCATGAAGAAGGCGGAATGGCGTTCTTGTTTCTTATTGAGCTGTGTTATAGGCGAACGTGACATACGGCCAGATCTCGTCCCAGCTTTTATGCTCCACATCGACGTACATGCAGAGCATATCCGCAAGTGTCTTATTGAGACGCTCCGCAAGATCATTCGCTTGCGAATGATACGCCGTTGTTCGCCGCTGGGATGTCTTAAAACCGTCCGTAATAGTTCGGATGCGAATGCAGTGCCCCTGTCAGTTATTACCACTGACGGAGCGCCATGCCTCAGCCCCACATTCTCGACGAAAAATCAGGCTGCTTCACTTGTCGTGCCCCTTTTGAGAGGCTTGGTTTCGGCGTAACGAGTGAGGTAGTCGGTGGCCACTATAACCCATCTGCGACCTGCCGATGAGACGGGAAATGGGCCCAAAAGATCCATTTCGACTTGAGCGAATGGAGTAACAGGCACGTCAATAGGATGGAGGAGGCCTGCTGGTTTGACGGGTGAGGCTTTTCTGCGCTGGCAATCAAGGCACGTCTAAACATAGTGTTGAACGGTCACTGTCAGTCTTGGCCAGTAGTATTTCTGCCTCACTCTGCACAGCGTATGCGTGTAACCCAAGTGGCCGGATGTTCGTTCATCGTGGCATGCCTGTAATACTTCACTCCTTAGAGATGTTGGCACGACGAGTAAGTAGCCGTTTTCGTGTGACGTGAAGTTCATTTTATACAGGACGTCGTTGCGCAAGCAAAACGACGAAAGCCCTCTCGCAGACAGTCTAGGTACAGCTGAAGTGTTACCCTCCAAAAAGCAAATTATGGGTTCTAGTTCCGGGTCGTCTCGTTGCAGCTGTGCGACAGTAGCCGTGTTTACAGCTCCGACAAAGGCTGTATCATCATCATCTGCCGTTGCAGGTTGTATGGCGCACGAGAAAGGCAATCAGCATCTGAATGTCGCTTCCCCGATCTGTAGACCACCGTCATGTCAAATTCTTGAAGCTTCAGGCTCCAGTGCGCCAACCGTCCTAAAGGGTCTTTTAAATTTGTCAGCCACAGAGGGAGTGATGGCCGCTGACAACATTAAAAGGACGACCATACAGATATGGGCGAAATTTCATAACGGCCCACACTACCGCAAGGCACTCTTTTTCGTGATGGAATAATTTTCTTCCGCACGTGAAAGAGTTCTGCTTGCGTAAGCAATTACTCGTTCAGCGCCATCCTGCCACTGCATGAGTACCGCCCCCCAAGCCGACATTGCTAGCGTCGGTGTGCACTGTTGTCGGGGCGTCATCATCAAAGTGTGCGAGGACTGGTGGCTTCTGAAGGTGTTGCCGCAGCTCGTCGAATAATTTCTGCTGTTCTTCATTCCATACAAATGCGACGTCTTCTCTGGTAAGGCGGGTCAACGACAAGGCGAATACTCCGAAACATTCGATATTTAAATTCGAATCTAAGTGAATTCAAATACTCTACTATTCATTCGAATACTCGAAGCATTTGAATATTCGCACAAGCCTAAGCATAACGTTTCATTTACACCAAGGAGAACTGCTTTGCATGGAAATGATAGATTTATGTGCATTGTCCACATAATATAGTAGCACACAGTCCAAGTATTAAAGCCCACTGAACAAAGAAAGATTAATGAAAAATCCAAAACTAAAGATACAGATTTTATTACAATGAGCAGGGTGGGCAATAAAAAAATGCTACAAATAAAACGAATATACTACAGTTCTAAGCAGAAAAAATTTAATGCACCACAAATATCAGAGTATTGAACAGCATAAAGAAAACCCCCCCTAGTTCATTCAAACGTATTGTGCAGGATAAAAAAAGCATTCTCAAACTATCATCATATTGGACACCCATTTGCTTTGTAGGATCACAGACATCACACATTAACTAACTTGCCATAAAAAGAACCCCTCAATAACCTGGGTCTCGGGCATAACTCTGTAGGTTAGCAGCTTGTGCACATTCACATACTATAACACTAGCCCCAGAAGCAACTTCTCTCAAGTAATCTAAACAAGAATTCTGGAATGCCCCTGTAATTTTACTGCCCGAGAGAGTTTTCTACACACTCATGGGAAGTTAAAACAAACTAAAGAGTTTCCCTTAGGAAAAAACTTTGACTTCGTGAATAGAGAAACGAACTAAGTCCTCATGTCGACACTGCCAACGAGCAGATGCAGACATGAGAAACCTCATAAAGCAAAGTCAACTGGTAGTACCTAAACAGAAGCTGTTAGTTCAAACTGCGTTTACTTACGTGACCTAGCCTGTCTTTTTCAGAGTCTTCCAGGCCATGAGGTGAGCCATTCGGCAGTGGCCATGCTGAAGCGACGTACAAATTAACTGGCTCGTTTGCCAGGCGACCACGATGTGCGGGGCTGTGCTGGTAGTCGGCCATCTTTGAAGCAGAGCTGGAGGCAGCAGCACCTTGGGGAGCCTGCAGCGATTCAGAGGGCATGGCATGTCCATAATGTTAAGGAACGTGCCCTCAGAAGGCGGTGAATCAGTTCAGAACTGAGGGTATCTGGTCCAACCCGGAGTGGCTAGACACTCGTTATAGCAGTCCTTGATGACAATGCGCTTAAATCAGCTAGAAGTGCAGCTGTGCATAGAGTATTAATCTATACGATTATGAAGGGCGTCGTAGTAGAAGGCTCCGCGAATTTCGACCACCCGTGTTTATTTTAACTGCACCTCAATCTAAGTACACAAGCCTCAAACATTTTTGCCTTCATCAGAAATGCAGCGGCCGTGGCCAGGATACGATCCCGCCACGTTCGGGTCAGCAGTCAAGCTTGTACCTACAAAAGCCTGCAGAAATTTCTTAAATGTGTTTGTGATTTTATGATTTACAGCCAATGTTAAGGACACATATGTTCCTTTTCTAGTAGCAACAACTGTGGCGTAAACCGAGAAGCAAAGCCAAGGCAAATGAGGAGACTATGCAAGGAGAGACTCATCATGCTATCTCTCTTGTTCTACTTGTGAATAGGAAGCTCTAGCGTCCTTGAAGCCTTTTTCCAACACTGTACAGAGTATTTACGAAGACCAATTATGAATTTAGCACCAATAAAGACTTAAACAAATTTAATGTATTAAGCTTCTCAGACTGCAGTGAAACCCGCGCAAGTCACAAGGTTGTCTCGGTGGCTCGTCAATGTGGAGTGGTTGATTTATCGACAAATAACAAACCAGCCGCAGGGACATTACCTCAGAATGCACGGTGGGAAATAAAAGATGTGCAACTATGTTTAGCGGACCTAATTGAATGAATTTCGGTATTGCGGGGCTCTCAACTTGCAAATCAGCTAGTAAACTACATTAATGCATCACATATATTTGGTGTCATGAGAGGCAAGCCTAATGAATCAACATGCTAACATCGGTGCTACGAGAAATCCTCAGGCTGAACATCTATTAAACTTGACTTCAAAAATCTTGCTCCCAATCACAGCCGAGTACAAAGATTTTTTCCACTGTCACAATGAAAAAATTAATGTGCAACGTTGCATCACAAAGAAAAACACCACAGAGAGAATGAAGTAGGTATTTACAAGAAACCCTTATTTGTCAACATTTTAAGTGTAGAAGCTACACATACTAATCAAATCCATCTCGCATTGCCATTAAGAATAAAGGTTTGTCACATGACAAACATGTTCTAGCAGACTATATGAAGATCACCAGCCACCGCGAGTATTTAAACCATCTCAAGCAGGACTTTTCAATTAAACCAAGGCTGAGGTGGCAGAGTACAGAAGTTCCTCTGTTGAAAGTTCGTAAAAATATTTCAACCAGAAAGAATAAGATTGTGACCTACCAGTCGCAGCATGAAGCTACGATGACCACCATCCCATCAGAAAAATAAAAGTTGGGAGTGTAAAAAAGTGGCAAAGCTACCGCTAAGTCATGCAAGGCCTGAAACAGTGAATCTGGCAGATTTTTAAGTTTGATCTGCTTCCTTGTAGGTAGTTGCAAGGCTATGTGTTGCCGGCTGCTTCTCCACGAAGAGAGGCTTAAGCGAGTTAAACCACAGCGAGTCACAGACACTAAACGGACGCCCTAACTCCAGGGACAGAAACTCGCACTGAAATAAAGCGTTCACACCTTCCATAAGTCTATGGGCATGTCTTTGTTCGCTCAGGGCTTCGATCACTTCGGGGGGGAGTAGGAGATGTTTCCACACAGTGGCCGCTGCCTTTCCAGTTCCCTAGTTATTCTCCCGTATGCACCGCTGAAGCACTCCGCACAGAGGCTTCAGCAAAGTTGAACCATGCAGCCACGGTATTTCGTTGGGTGAGTCACAATGGTTAACGAGGACTATAGCTTTTTGTGCCGTCGTCCAAAGCTTTTATGGCAGGCTTAGGCAGCTTTGGTGTTAAGAAAATTCATTTTAGCCTAGAATGAGCCTCTTCTGGCCTTGTGAACTTCCGCAGAACTGATTTACCGTGGAGGCAGTAATGTTGCGCATCTCGAGATGCATTTAAGAATGTTAATAGTTAAGAAGAAAGTACACAGACAGAATACAAAGAACAATAAGCAACATATAAGGATAGACCAGCTACAGAAAATCAGTTCATTTAGGAACATATCTTGGTAAAACGGCAAGTTGGGCCAGTTGGTTGGGAATTATCCTGAACTTGGTTTACAGTGCAACATCAGAAACACAGACAAGGAGCAAAAGAGAAAAAAGAAAAAGAAGACAGGATGGCACTGGTAGGAGTTGGTGAGTACAAAATGCTGTCTTCTCTTTCGCGATAGATTAATTGATATGTCAGGTTTAACATCCGAAAACCACCATGTGATTATGAGAGACGGCATAGTGGAGGGCCCCGAAGTCTCTTTCTTCTCTTTTGCCTGCCTGCTTCCTTGTGTCTGTGTTTCTGGTGTCGCGCTGTAAACCAAGTTCACGTTGAATGGGAACATATCTATTTCATGTTTACGTAATGGTCATTACCAATTCTTCGTATAATACCATATTTCCTAAAGCAAATTTTGTTCCACTCTCACATTCGGTACCCTAATGTGCTGCATGCTTTGCATACTACTGTCGAATGAGTAACACAGTTGGAATCGTATACCGATTTAATTTCCCACGTTGCGTTAGAAAAACAAAAACAAAGCAAACCACTCTTATGCAAACATTTCGCCATGAAATTCAACCGGCGATGCTTACCACAACCACGCAAGAAAAGTCGGAAATTTCAAGCAGCTCACCCGGTGTGTCCTCGGCATCACTGGCAGATCAGGTCACGATCAAGGTAAGCTGCAAGCCCGAAATGGTCCGAGTACAGCCGGGTCACTGCGCCAATAGACGCCAAGAAAACAAGCACCAGTGAGCACAGGCAAGGTTACTAAGTACCGCGGCCGAGTGAGCTACGAGATTGCTGAGGTCGCTTCTTCGAGCACTACAGGGACTCAGTGCCAGAGAGCACTTTGTAGAGCACTCTCTCGGCAGTACGAAGTGATCTAGCCCAACTAGTCCCTCTCTCCGCTCTGGAGAGCCGAGTACGTACAGCAAAGACGGGCTTTGCCGAACGTACTCGGCTTTGGCCGGCAAAGATAATTTTGTGGGGCATCATACTCCAAGCAGTGTCTAATGAGAGCGGCTTCGCGCGCAGAAAAACGCTTGCCAATTGGTGAAAAAGCACCGCAGGTCACGGGATCGAATGCCGGCTGCGGCGGCTGCATTGCCGATGGAGGCGGAAATGCTCTAGGCCCGTGTGCTCAGATTTGGGCGCACGTTAAAGAAGCCCAGGTGGTCAAAATTTCCGGAGCCCTCTACTACGGCGTCTTTTATAATCATATGGTGGTTTTGGGACGTTAAACCCCACATATCAATCAATCAATCAATTGGTGAAAAAACAATGAACTAAGAGAAAACAGAAAGCTGACAAACCTCGTGGGTTTGAGCACCGTAGCCGCTGCAAAGTGGTCGCTCACTGCTCGCCACAGAACACACTACCACTTGTGCTCGCTTTTTCATTTCATTGGCCCAAGGAGCAACGCAACAACGGAATCGAATCGAATGCTGAAGCACCTAAATGAGAATGAGGAGTTTGTGGGCTGCCTAGTCACTTCTGAGTTGGTGTTGCCGATGCCGGGGCACCGAGGTAACCGAGGTTCTCGACGGGAACAAGCGGCTGATTTAAATTTCGTTCGAACAGCGATACTTCCGGCGACCACACTTCTGTTGTCGCAGCGCGCACGCGCTGTGGCCCACGAGGTGCAGGTGTCGCCCTCTATAATTGTTTACCATAACCACGACCTACTGTATTGTACTGACCTGCCCAGCGAGCGAAGCGCCAGCACGCCCTTTGTGGTACTGGCACCTGCCGCTAAGCGCTCTGTGGCGCTACAACTTACGTCATCCGCACCGGTTGCTGTCGGCCAAAACATAGACCGTCGCGCTTTTTTTTTCTTTGTCGTTTGCTCACGTGACACTGGGAGAAAAGCAGCAACGTTTACGCGTGCATACACTCTGGACGATTAAAAAAATGAATAAAAGCCTATTTTTGAATAAGTTTTGTATAACGGCGAAAAGTATAATGACGATCTTTTGCTGGTCTTTTGCTACCGTCTCCTCGTACCGAGCTGTGATAGAAGCGTGCAGGTAGGTGCAGTTTGTACACCAGCGAAGCGAGGTTTTTTGGTGCAAATGAACCATCACGATGGTGTGTGCTGCGTGCCTTGCGAATCAAGGCAAGGGAAGACTTCTGATACGACTTTTCATGAGTTTCCAGTGATCGAGGTTGGTGAAAAATGGATCAAGGTGATTTCTAGAAAGGGTAAGTCTGCTCAATCAGGCGTTGTCTGGCATGCTGAAAATGTAATAGGGGTTGTAAATGACTACGTGTTTTCAAAAGAGTGAGTTGCTGGGCTGGTTGGCGGTGCATGACAGACTGAGACGCATATTAGCGCAAAAAATAAAAATAAACCAACAACCTCAAGAAAGTAAATGACGACGTGCTATACTGACAACTTTTTATCAGCAAAAAAAAAAAAAAAGATGACAAGAGTCCACATATGCAAGCCATGTCACTACATGTGGTTATGCTACTAGGTTTTCGAACACACCCATTGTGGGAAGAAGCAGCTTCTTCGAGATTGCTTTGGTAGTTTAATTACATTACCAAAAAGAGCAGAGATCGTTGCATAAGTGAATATTTATCCCCTGTCGCTTAATTAGTTTGACCTCGAACTTGAATTTATGTGCTACCGCGTCTGATATAAACGTGTTAGTTTACCCGTCTACGCGCATGCATGACAAAAGGGATATATACGTGAAAACGTTTCTCCTAATGAAACGTTGTGAGTAGCGTGTGTCCTTGTCTTCTTTCTTGTGGTCATCCGTTTTATTTAGTGCTAATGTATCTCAGCCAGTTACGTGTGTCACACGGTTAACGAGGTGAATTCATACGCTCACTTCATAACTGTGTTTTATTAACTTCGCCACCATGGTATAAACTTCTAATTGTATGACATACTCCTTAGAAAAGAACAAGAAATTTTGTATTTTATTCACAATTTTTCACTGAATGTTCATCTTCCTTCCTTTCAAGGTGCTGGCAATGAAGTTTAGCTCCCAAATGACAGGTCGAAGGTGTGCAGTGTGCACTTTGCTCCTACCGACTATAAGCCGGGACTAAAGATAAAAAGACTGAAAGTGGATGCTGTGCCGTCATGTTTCCACACTACCCAAAGTACATGGTGCCGCCCGTGGCAAAAGTCCGCCGCACCTTGAAACGTTCAAATGTTCAGGAACATGGACCCTGCCCCCCCCCCCCAAAAAAAAAATGACTAACAATGTTTAATGCTTGACGTTTCCCCACGGCTCTTGCATACGAATTGGACCAATGAAAACGAATTTCAAGGAAAGGCGTATAACAGAACACAATTTTTTAATGCAAGAAGAAAACAGGTTCAGCCCCGGCGCGCAGCAGAGCTTGACATCGAGCGGCATATGTCATCAGTACCATCCGCAAACACCACTTCGGGACCATCCTCAGTCTTCATGCACCCTCTCACTGAATTTTAACGCACAGAACCACCTGAAACTGCACCTGGCGACAAAGTAAAAAACAAAAAGATCGACCAACGCTCATTGACCACACAAACAACTATAACCAGCCAGAAGATGCGTCGTGTGATGACTTCCGCAAAATCATCGCACCGGAAATGCCAAACCATGGCAAGGAATAATGCTGTATTAAAAGCGCAAATAGCCAAGCTGAACCGTTAAGTTGCAGCGGTTAATCTGCTCTCCAAAAGAGCAAACGCTGCAGTCTTGCAGGTAAAGTTGTTTGCTGTTGTTTGCAGTTTCGTTTCAAAACAGTTGCAGAGTGTTTTTATTGATTATTCATGTACCTGCAATCTACATTTGCCATTTGAGACGTAGGTATTTACGCGCGAAATTGTATGTATTAGGTTGTTTTCTATGCGCGCTGGATGCCGCGGCCACTGTCAAATGTCATAGTCCTTTCACTTTCTTGTCCAGACAGTAAATTCAATCCAGCTGAGTGTGCGACGACAAGTCTACCATTGTATACACGTATAGCCGGTATCATGAGTTAAATAAACATTTGGTGGTCAGCGCTTTTTACAAGCTGTCTCTGTCATCATTCTTTCTTGTTTTGCACGATGACACATGTTTTTGTATCTTATTTGTGGTTCCATTTGAAAATTAATGTTCTGAAATGTGATATAAAATGCAAAAGAAGATTCTCAAAGTCACATAAAATAAAATGATTCAAGATATCTGTCGCATTTACTCAAACCATGATGAAACTCTTCTCAAACCGGCGGCAACCCATGCATTTCTAAGCATCCACCGGCACCCAGGATGGATGGGTGGATGGATGGATATGGCTGTACCCTTTAGATCAGGCGGTGGCTAGCGCCACCGAGCCGTAAAACTTAATGAACCAAAAATTAGATTTATTTTTTTTCTTTAAAAAGTGAGTTTGAGGATTCGTACCTTGCAGTGAAGAGTTTAATTTTCACTCATGCCTTGACTTTAGCCACCAGTCAGATAACCTCCTTCTAGTTAAGTCTACCCGCTTAAAGTCTATTTTGCCCTCCCTGTCCCTAAACCCCAGTGCTTTGAAAAACTCTGCACCATCATGCCTGAACTATAGGGTGAAGCCCTTTACAGAACATTATCAAGTGTTCGGCAGTTTCTTCTTCCTCTCCACACGCACTGCATACTGTGTCTACCCCTTCGTATTTGGCCCGATATGTCTTGGTTCGCAGTACTCCCGTCCTGGCCTCAAACAGTAGAGAACTACCCCGAGTATTATCATAGATCCTTTCCTTGGCAATTTCCTGCTTAAAAGTTCGATAGATCTCAAGTGCGGACTTCTTAATCATGCCCATTCTCCACATGTCAGTCTCCGTTTCCTTCACTTTCTTCTTAACCGATAGTTCTTTTTGGTTTGGCCACCTGCTGTTTTCTAAGTATTTACCAGTCAATTTCCTGGTTCGCTTCCTCCATTTTGTATCGACATTCTTCATGTACAAGTAGCTGAAAACCTTCCTAGCCCAACGCTCCTCCCCCATTTCCCTCAATCGCTTCTCAAATTTTATCTTGCTGCTAGCTTCCCTGCCCTCAAATGATGTCCATCCCATATCACCTTGTACTCCCTGATTTGGTGTATTCCCGTGATCTCCTAAAGCAGGCCTACCTATTCCACGTTGCTTAATTTCTAATCTTGCTTGAACTTCTGATCTCATGCACAAGACTGCATTGCCGAAGGTCAGCCCAGGAACCATGACACCTTTCCATATTCCTCTCACAACATCATATCTATTGTAATTCCACAGTGCCCTATTTTTCATCACTGCTGCATTCCTGTTACCTTTAGTCGTCACATATATTTCGTGTTCCCTCAGGTACTCGGTCCCATTGCTTATCCATACGCCCAGAAATTTGTATTTATCTGTTATCTCTAGCGTGACCTCCTGTATTCTAAGCTCACTACCTTCGATGTCATTGAAAATCATGACTGCTGATATTTTCTTACTGAATCTAAAATCTAATCTATCTCCCTGATTACCGCAGATGTCATCAATCTCTTCAAATATTCCTTGTTGTTGGCCATTAGCACTATATCATCTGCGTACATTAATGCTGGTAGTGCCTGATCAATAAGTTTTCCTTGCTTGACGAAAGAGAGGTTGAAGCCAAGTCCACTTCTCTTTATTTTGGCCTCTAATCCTTCTAGGTACATCATGAATAACAAGGGTGACAGAGGACACCCCTGCCTGAGCCCCCGTTCTACCTCTGTGGGCTTGGATACCTGTTTTTCCCATGTTATAACTACCTTATTACTTTTATTGATTTCCTTTAAAAGATTAGTGACTCCATCTGCCACACCTAGTGTGTCTAGTATTCCCCACAAGTCCTCTTGAACCACCCTCCCGTGATATCCGAAAATGCTAGCCACAGGGGCCTGTGTTCCTTTTCTGCTATTTTGATGCACTGCGTCAGTGAGAACAGATTGTCTTCCAACCTCCTGGGTTTCCGAAACCCATTCTGCAGTTCCCACAGCACCTCTCATCCTCTATCCATGCCTGCAGTCTTTCCTTTATAATCTGCATTGCCAGCCTGTAGACCACTGATGTCACTGTTATAGGACGGTAGTTGTTTATGCCAGCTTTGTCCCCCTTTTCTTTATAGATCATGCTCATCCTGCTAAGTTTCCATCCATCGGGAACTTCACCATCGATTATTATTTTGCTCACTGCCTCTCTCAAAGCCTGCTTAGACTTCGGACCTAATGTCTTTATCAGCATAATTGGAATGCCATCTGGGCCTGTTGATGTACTACTATGAACCCTTTTCTCAACCCTTTACCACTCTCGTTAAGAAAATGGAGCCATTGCACCACTTGATTCGTCCTTGTCTATTGTGGTGCATAAAGTACTTCTTAGTTGAAATTTTTCTGTCACCCTTGTTATATATTCAATGGCTTCGTCCCCTTCTAGCCTAGCACCTTGGGCTGTAGTTATAAAACTCTGCTCTAGGCTCGTCTCATTTCTTAGGGAGTTTAGATGGTTCCAAAATTTCGCAGCTGCCTTTCTATCTCTTTTATGTACTTCTGCCAGCCACTGAGCTCCCTTTCTCTAATCAACTTGGGTAACTCGAGCGCCCCTAGGCGGCGAAGTTCGGAATCTGAGCCG